AATTAGCAACCCGCCTCTGAGATGAATGGTTGGCAATGTGCTCTCTTTCCCTGGGCCTCGAATTTGGGAATGGGGAGTTTCAATCTGAGATTGACTTCTTCCACATAGGGGGAAGACAGACAGACAGACAGTCTTGATGTCCCAGGGAAATTCGGGGTTTGTTGAACCTGGAGTGCATTCCAATTAATGCAGAAGTTCCATGTGTTTTTAATAGCTACAGAAAAAAGGGCACTTGTGATTTTAATTTGACAGCAAGGGCATGGTTTTGTTCTAAGGCTATGAGTCTTAAAGGGTTACAATCAGAAAATCATGTCACCACTAATAACCACAGGTTATTTGGCTAACATAGACCCCCAAATGTGGATACTATTGGTCAAAAGTGGGGCCCAAAGGTGTGCGCTATTGTTCCCAGGCAAACGTGAACCAGTTGACAGGTGCCTTATCTATTCCACTGCTACCCACAACTAACTTGCACCTCATTCCATTTTGAAGGGAAATTTCTAAGGCCTTCCACCATCTAAACCCTCACTGCTTGTGATTTTGACTTATTAAGACAAGATGTTTCAGAGGGAAGGAATTTGACAACTGATTATCCCATAAAGGTCAATCTGGCACCATGCATAATATTCCTTTTTGAAGCTTTAGAGGCCTTCTTCCCACTCTATCACTTTATCCAAGTCCCCATTTGAAAAATATCATTTTATTAACAACTGCTGCATTTTCATTTTCTCTACCGTAAGACTATAGCTACTATTTCCAAAAACACATACAGTATTTTGGCTATAGATCTGTATGAGAATTCCTTTAGTATTATATGTTGTCTATCTCTGGTTAAAGAATGCAGAAGCCAGACTAATGGAATGTAAACTTTTAAGTCTTCTCTCTGAGCCTTCACTGCAATTCTTTTTTTTTCCTTTGTCTACAGAATATTTGCACCACGACCACTGCATTTTTACATTTCTTCTTCTTAGCCTCCTTTTGTTGGGTTTTAACCGAAGCGTGGCAGTCATACATGGCTGTCACTGGAAAAATTAGGACGCGGCTCATAAGGAAACGCTTTTTATGCCTTGGATGGGGTGAGCTCCTGTTATTCAGCTGATTTTTTTTCTTTTTCAGCTTAGTGTTTTTGCATGAATAACCTTTGGAATATGAATGCTTGTTTCAAGCATCTTGGCAGTTAGTAAGGAGATTGTACTGTTCCTATACTGAATATCAATACTGGAATATTGATAGAATAGCAAGCAAGCATATTATTTAATTCCATTGATTTGCTTCCAGGTCTGGCTGGTAATGAATTCTCCATAGTTTACTAAAGTTTATCATACTATAACTTATTGTCTTTAGATTTTCCGTAAAGATGGTAATATGTAGACTTTTCAAAGCATAACAGTCCCTGTGATCAAAATCAATCCATTTTTATGCTGTATCTTCATTATATAATATATCAAATGCTTTAGTGATGGGACTGGTCACAATGCAAGATGGGATAACAGGAGTAGTTGACAAGTTAATGGTAGGTGAAGGATATACTTGAGTTATTGCTGGTAAAAATATTCTTTCCATATAATTTGTATCATAAAGCATGCTTTTCTCATCCAAGCATGAAAAGCAATAAGCAGTGTGATTCTCACAAATAATCCCTTCTATAAAAACTCTAGTGATAGCCACAGTAAAACTGTAGCTGGAGGTCACCTATTCCTAGAGCTACCAGATGAGGGATGCAAAAATCCAGATTAACACTAGTGAGCAGCAAAGAGGTAAAGACAATTTGAATGCATTGCATTCCATTCTTTTAGCCCATCTTTGGTAACCTTATCCAACCTTATTTATCTTACAGTGATGAAATTATTTACCCCTTATAACTATGTCCTGAAAGCCAAAAACGGTATGGACATTAAGGCCCACCAAACAGATCAAAGAAAGAGGTTTCTGGCCCAGGTAACACCATTTGCACACCAGAATAGAGTACAGATAGGAACCAAATAAAGAACAAATCAATGAGCTGAGAATAAGTACATCTTAATTATTTAAGTAATAGCTGAGAAAGGCTGCCCTTGTACTGTCATGACTTCCAAAAAACCACTTCTTCAGAATCGATCGCAAAGTCTCCCAACTTTAGTTGCTTGTTCTTGTGGGTATAGATAGACACTGTAATGATCCGCTGCAATAAATTAGCTGTATACCAAAGCCTTTCTATCACCTGACTCATGATACTGAATACTCTTCTTTATATATTATTTAAAATATCTTATTAGAAAATAGTTCGGAATCCCATTTTACTGTTGTTTTTTTTTTTCAGAAACAAGGGCAATATGGCCTTAGGGAAAAAAAATGGGGAAAATGTCTTGTTTTCTGGGGCATGGCAAATAAACATAAGAAACAAAAGGTATACGGATAGGGAAGCCGTATGCCTAAGTTTCATTTTATGAAAAACCCCAACCACAGGTTTTGTGGCACCATACGGATATGAGATCTCTAGCAGGATGGTCTTTAGATGTGCAGATCATTATGTAGAGAGGGAAATAACACTGGAGTTTCTCTTGCAGGTTTGCCAGCATTGGTCGTGGCCATATCAATAGGTTTTACCAAGACTAAAGGCTATGGAACGACTCAATAGTAAGTCATTCTATCATAATACGTCTTGTTTTCAAGGACAGTTCCTACATTCCTCTTTATCACATTGCCTGCATTTGACTGTTTGACTGTATTCAGATCTAGGATTGACACCGAGGGTCTTTAAAAGTAGTCCATGGTTCCCCATCTCTCTGACGAAGGTGTGGCAGGAAATAAACATACACAGTCAATTGCTCTCTGTAGAATTTGGCATGCTTTTACCTTCATGAGCAACAAATCATAGAATGAGTAGCTGCTTCTTTCAGTTATTCTTGTCTTTGCCTGGAAACTCAATTTCAATAACCCTAAAGAAAAGGAAACATGTACTGGAACAACACCATACAATAAGCCATTGTTTTGCTTAAACATGGTTTCTTGAATTATTGTTGGTTGGGACCAGTGGTGGGATTCAAATAATTTAACAACTGGTTCTCTGCCTTAATGACCAACTGGGTAGGCGGGGCTCAGTGTTCATGTGACTGGGTGGGTATGGTCAACTCAACGTCACTCACGCCGATGGGCACTTTGCCTTAGCTGTTACAATGTAATAAGGGTAACTGAAGAGGCAGTTTCTGTAAGAAGGGCATAAAGATTAGGCTAGAAACA